CTCAAGTATCACGATCAAATCTATTGTCTCCATTGCTCTGTCTGACCTTTTGGAGGAGAAATGATATGACTGCAGCACAAGCACAACTGTGGACTGACCGAGGGGAAATTAGTAACAGGAAGCAAATTTTATAAGCAAACTCAAGACAACTACAAGTCCAAAACAAGTTGTGCTGGTTAGAGATGGTCAATATCGAATGGAGAATGCTCAGTTACACTTACTGTTGATTCTACTTCCAAACACATAACCACATTATGACTGCCAACCATGTAGTGGGTTGTCTCAAAGTCAATGGTTTTTTAATTAGTTTTTGTTAGCTGGAACACGCTCTGTGGTTAACACAAGCTGAAGATATTTTCAAGTTTGTTTCTATAACATAGAATAAGTCAGTAAATACCCAAATGCCTGAAGCTTCTGTATGTCTAACAAGTGTCTAAATGAGACGACTAGACGTCACCATGGTAAACATTAGCCGCCTTTAGCTTAGTGGTGGTGACGTGAAGTCATGGGACCTTGATGTAGTTTCTTTATAGACTAACGGTAGAGTTTTACTTTATTTGTTGTGTTTTTGCCACAGAACTCATTATCTGCAATATTCCAAAATCTAATAGATAATCACATTGCCTTTGTTGAGGCGATGCTAACTTCTGGGTCAGTTTACAAAAATAAATCTATGGAGGACCTCTACGACCAGCAGTGTAGGATAAAACAGGATCAAAAAAGATTACTCCACCAATAAACTGTTCTGTCTGCTGCCTACAGTGAAGTTGTATTTATTTTTATGTCTAAAGCATAGTATGTTGCATTATCGGTGGAGCCTGGTACTTCAGATTTTCATTGCCAAAAACTAGGCTGTAGCTAATCGTGCATGTGACACTAAAGCCTAAGAATATTGATTTATAAGCGTACTATATGCAGCAAAACGGACAGGACAGCTGGGATATGCAAGTCAAGCACTTGCTATTCCTTCCTTCACATATTAATTTGACTGTTTCTCACCCAGTAGAGAAGCTGTGAAGCGCACAGAGACTCGGTGGTCCTGACTGAGCAGCTCTCTCAGAGCCCCTGGAGAACACTTCAGCACCCCGCTGATCCCAGACAAGGCAAAAGACTTCCTCACAGACTGCACACCACAGAAAGGGGGGGTATAGAAGAGTTAAGTTAAGCAGAGGAGGTAGTAAAATCTTCTTAATTGAGTAAAGGTAGCAATACTACAGCCTAAACATACTCAGATACAAGTAGAAGTCTAACATTCAAAAATGTACTCAAGTAGTAATATACCTTAAGTACCGAAAGTACAAGCACTCATTATGTAATAGTACAGAAGTGTTACCAGCAAAATGTACTTAAAGTATAAAAAGTAAAAGTAGTAATTCTGCAGAAAATTGCCTCCATGTGTAATTTATTATTATATATGACATTATTAGATAATATGATAGTAGTATTGCATCAATTATCATGTTACTCTTGTAGATAAACAAAGTTTTGATATAAAAATATATGTACTTTTTGTTGTATTTTGGATAATTCTACTTTTTTGTACCTTCAACAGATAGTCTACTAGAAAACATTTTAGTTAAGTACAGTACTTGAGTAAATGAACTCAGGTACTTTCAACCACTCCCAAAATGTAGCACAACTTTAAGATACTCAGGTAAAGTATAACTATTTCAGAATTGTCATTTAATAACTGACTTATGTAAATGTACTGAACTACATTCCACCACTGAAAACAGTTGAGTACTGCAATGTGTATGTAATGTAAAGGGCTTTGAGCACTTGAAAAAGCGCTCTAATAAAATATTTAATGAATTGTTATTATTATTATACTTCTTCCACCACTGGTTAAAAACACGTTTATGATGGTATTTCTCACCGCTACATCTTTACTTTCGATCATCTCCACCACACAGGCCACACACACCAGCAGCCCGCTGCCCTCCGCAGGCCCCAGCCGGCCACTCCACTTCGGGTCGTGTCCGAAGTGGATCTTATCATAAATAATATCCACGCCTGTCATGTTGGCCTTTAAACCTGATGAAACAAAAATATACACCATGGTTCTCAACTATAACCGGAAGTCAGCCGGTTGAGTTAACAAGCTAGCTATCGCTAAGCTAACCGGCTAATATTTCAAGCACATATATGAACATCATTTATTGTACAAGAAGTTGCTATCAGGGGTAGACATATTAAGTAATAAAACATTACATTAAATAAGGAAAAATAAAAATATAGTTTCATATTTCTGATTAAATGTTTGTTAAATACACAATTAGTTTTTTGAGAATTTTGAGTCCATCTTTTTATGAATATGAAATTTCCCTCCAATATTAAATATACTGTACAAAAAAACCCATATCTGCGTCCATACTAAACTTTGAAGTAAACATGTCTTTATCCTGGAGTTGTACTTGTTGTCCCGTTTTTATTTTTTTATGATATTATATCTAGCAAAACAATACATTCATAATAAAACAAGCTAATGTAAAACATTAAGCTAGCTAGCTTTCAAACAGCTTCATCATCTCAAAACAAATGTCCGTTGTTGACACGACTACTTTTGTTTTAAAGTTATACGTAAATATGCATACTAGTTTTAACAACGCTATAACATAAAATACATATATTATATTCAGTTGACTCACCACGAAACTTTAAAATGATACAGATGACGAAAGTCCAGTCCACACAACCAGTATGGAGGCAACTAGCGAAAGTGGCGGGTTTCTGTAGCATTTTTTTTTTAAATCCCCAAAACTTTATTTAACAAAAGACAACGTACAACATATAGCGATAGATATTTTATATTTAGGTTATTATCAAAAGAAATACACTAGTAGGCCTACAGGTACTTTTTCGTGACTATATGCCTATGTTATAAAAATTATTTACAAGATAATTATTCTATGTTAAAGTAAAATGTAGTTCTAGACAATAGAAATAAATTGTTTATATACATAGATTTATAAAGATAAATATAGAGATAGATATGATTACAAATTCCCTCTAATATGTGTTGAACAATCTTTTAACCATATTGAGCCTACGTTTGTTTTAGCCATGACGCCATAATAAGAATAAAATGGGGCATAAAAATCAGCTATTTAAAATGCAACTATGACATTTCATTATTGCATGCAATAATTAGGCTATAACGTTTGTTTCTCAATATTTGGTTGGGATGGGAGTTATTTTAAACATTTCGACTGTTGGTAGTGATTGGGAAAGGGCCTGTATGTGTTTCTTCATTAGGGTTTTGTTTCTCCATTGTTGTTATCAAAAGTCTCTAGAGTTCAAGGGTTGACTGATGTCTTACATTTTAGCAAAACCCATACATAATCTTTGAGATGATCTATCACTCTCAATTAATCCTCCAGCGATTGTTACTGCTGTACAACATGCAGTGAGTTTATGGTGCGATGCATAGGTTTGCTCTGCAGTATAATTTAGCCGTGAGGGCCACAATTTGGTTATCGCCATGACAACAAAAACCTCTTGGCAACCGTGCAACTATCTGATGAAGAGAGTGTGGAGGCGAGTATCAACCACTACCGACATGTCAATTTGTAATATCTCTCCTCACTTCTCTTCGACCTCTCTGCGCGTCATCAGTGTAGTGCATGACATGCAGTAAGTGTGTGTGTGTGTGTGTGTGTGTGTGTGTGTGTGTGTGTGTGTGTGTGTGTGTGTGTGTGTGTGTGTGTCGCCTTTGACAAATTGGTGGCCTTGTTAAAGGACCTAAGACAAGCAGGTGGAAAATATTTGTTTCCAAATCTTCCATTTGCTCAGACAGGAGGTAAATCATTCAGTCTCAGAGTTTATTGGCCCCTGAGAGAGAGAAACTGACACAGACAGAGCCCCTCTCAGTGCTCAGGGGGGAGCCGATGCATATCACAGAGACAAATGGATTCAGCCTCTGTCCGAGCATAAGTGGAGCCTTAAAATGCGAGCAGTGCTGGGCCTTTGCTTTGCTCACATTCGGCTTCATATATCTTTAACCACTTCCTGTTTATAGCCCCTCCGCACCACACACGCACACATCAGTGTAAAACAATCATGCAGTACTGTAGATTAAGAAACCCTTTCAGTGACATCACTGAGCAACCCTAAATATAACTATAACTTTTTCCAGTCACCAACCCACACTTTGTCACACCATCACTCTGCTCACTAACGTACTGTTTCCATTCACAATGACATTTACAAGTCATAAAGTAGCTCAGCTTGTTTTGTAAGGGACATTATAATACAATTGTGTGTTGTCTGGTAAGCTGCTTCACTGCCAAACCTTGCAAATGTGGATATTATCTGCATTTCTATATTAAATAAAATAATATCATGACATTTTACTGACTGGAATTCAAAAACATTAGCTCGGACTTTGAACATTTTGTACTATAGGTTTTTCAATAACCAAATGATTAATCACAGATCACAATACTTTATTTATCCTGAGAACATTTGACGTTGTGATGGTTGCCTCATTTTAGAAAAAAAAATTTTTTAAAGTAAATATATACTTTTTAAAAGTTTTATGTTTTAATATTATAAACATATTATTAAGACAATGATTAAATACAATAATGTAAATAAATAGTGTATATTTAAATACTGTAAACATCATAAGACAATATGCAATAAATAGATACAATTAAAAATGAAAACTGAAATAAGTATAAAAAGTTATAATAAAATGGATAAATGTAGAAAATAAATGTAAACACCACACTGAAGCATATCATGTTACTGTTTATATTACACACACATTCTTTGCAGTTGTTGAAAAAAAGTTAGATAAGTAGGAAGAGGGCGGGGCAAAGAAGACGCGCGTGTGTGTGTGTGCGTGGGTGTGTGTGCGTGTGTGTGTGTGTGTGTGTGTGTGTGTGTGTGTGTGTGTGTGTGTGTGTGTGTGTGTGTGTGTGTGTGTGTGTGTGTGTGTGTGTGTGTGTGTGTGTGTTGTAGAAGCGGCAGTCTCTCTCTCGGGTGAAACGTTCAGGTGCGCTTCACCCTCAGAGGTGCAAACTCAAGTCGGTGCGGTGGATTATATTTTATCCGAGTAGACATTGATTTTAAATAAATCTCAACGAGAGATGTTCGTGGAAAGTCCGTTTGAAATGAAAGTAAAGACTTACGGTAAGAAAGCTTGCAATTCTTTACAACTGTTGGGCTACTTTTTGCTCCTTCTTGCCGAAGTTTTCTGAACCTGTTCCACGAATGGACAACTATGGACGATGCATGCATGGTATATTTTTACATGGAATTAGTCTAAAGTGCGTTTTTTTAAGATGAATAACCTATAGTAGCTTCAGTAATATCTGAGGTTCCTTTATCACATATTCTAATGTATATGTACATTTAATTTAACGCTAATTTAACATGCTTTTTAAAAAGTTGTTTAGATTGTAAATTTTATTTTAAAAGGTTTGCCAACTTTTTATTATAAGGGAAGCTGTAGTGAGTCACTTACCATTTTCTTGACTACTGCTTTGCTGTTGTTTCTTCAGTTATGAAGTTAAATGGCTTTTTACATTGACTTCATTTTGCATTGCATTGTATGTCCTTAAATATTTTTTATAATAATCTGGAATTCTCTATAATAATCTATAATAATCTATTGGTGTCAATGTTTTTAGATTTTTTTGCATATAATACTAATAATAATAATGTTATCCCTATGTCCATCAAAGCTCCAAATTACATATGGCTAGCTAATGACTAGAGCCTGGCTCCTGTTACTGCCTTTAATATGAACTGTACTCATGCACACTGTCTAAAGGGTTGCAACTAACTATTATTCAGTATTGAATTGTCTGCTGTACTTTTACGCTTGATTAAGTTAGTTTTAGACAATAAAATGTCATTACAAATACAAATAAAAAATCCTAGTTACTGAAAGTCTAAGTTGATGTCTTTAAATATCTAATTAACTTGTCGTTGCCCCACTTATGTTATGCTAATGAACTGTTTTACCCAGTTAATGCATATTTTATGTACATTATTAATATGTCTATTGTGTGCTAGAGACATATACATTTTAGTATGGCAGTGCATGTACCGTATGAATGCATAATGTCAATTTTTCATCTATTTAAACAGACTATAATGTCCAAACCTTTGTTTCCTGGACACAATATTCTCTTTTTTATCCTCTTAATCAAAAAGATACATAACATTAGTGTTTAAAATGCCTTTTTGGGAGCAACATAACACTGTATGCTGACAACTTCATGTCCTCTGTGGTGTATTCACAGAAATAAACGAACAACATCACTTCCTGTGGGATTAGAAGTATTAGTCATCAGATGTTTCCATGCACATCTGAACTCATGAGCCAAAGAATTTAGGAGACTGACTAAACAGAAAGCTTAAATATGCAGCAGACTTTACTTTCAGTGTTTGGGCCTGCAGTACTCAGATAAAAACCCAACTTCACCACAGCCTGAGATACTGACATGCAACAAAACCACAATGACGCTATTGTGTCTGTTTATGGCTTTGCATATGGGTCGTCTTAAAGTATAACCCTGCTCACATAACTGACATTCTCTTAGCTAGGGTTATAACTGTGTACATTAATGCCGGGAAATTAAACTCGTAGTTTGAATACATTTTGCAGTACTTTTTAGTGCAAAGTCGTTTTTGCCATTTTCTGTGTATTAAGCGACTTAAACTACAAACAATTTTAGGGCATAAATGAAAAGGAAGGATTTTTAACATTGCTTCTATACTGTAGATAAACCAAATTTACCATACCTACATCCTTTCTACAATTATACTGTATTTACATATATTTTCTTTTATTACATATTATACTTGTGTACAGTTTGACCTGCGAATAAGTGGGCACTTTTTTATTTAATTGGCATTTTCTGCTGGCATGTTGTTTTTTAAATACATATTGTTATATTTTAGTATCACATATACATTGAGATAACATTAACTCTCAGTAGTGAGTACAAAAAAGTTGTAAATAGTAAAATAACTGACATAACTGAGTATTGGTTTAACCTTAAAGGTACAGTCAGGAGAGCCTATTGCAAATACGAATTGTTAATATCATAGAACTTTATTTTAAAAGCTAAAACCTTTATTTTTATTGATGTTATTTTTGATTTTGTAGTTGATTTAACATGCTAAAGTGCTGCTAACATGCTTCAGTTATGTAAAAGGATCTGTTTATTCTTTTAAGGACCTTTGTAACTGATAATCATAATAAGAGAGTATCACCGTATACCGTGACACCGTGATATTTTACGTGCCGTGACATTTCCAACGTGTTTTGCCTTGTCTTACCTTTGGACAAAAAGGCAAATACTAACACTAATCCTCCTCTCTCAACTGTCCTATCAGCACTTTCAACAACTGGCATAATAAACAAACCAAAACTGTACCAATAACAATGGCTGGTATTATCACGCCTATAGTACGCCCACACAGAGACAGTGCAGGTACTGTGCAAGCCGGAGAGGAAGCACGTCCGACAGCAACGTGGATCTCACATTGTGTCCTCAGATAGCACCAACCCGGGGAGTATTCACTTTCACTCAAGGACAGTGGACTACTCAGGGCTTGAATTGATTCGGATTATAAAAAAACGCTGAAATTTGAGGCTTCTACGTAAATGGGAAAGTGTTGATGTGAGAGAGGATAGACTTTGAATGTCCCCCTTTTTTTATTTCAAAGATCTGTATCCTCGGGGCGTGACGTAAATCGAAGCGACGTCAAAGTCACTTCAAACTGTAGGGCTGTGAGGAGAAAGGGATTGAGAAGAAAGACAAATGACAAATGTAAAACTTGCTGAGTGAAACGAGATGAGGGGAGAGCGTGTGGCAGATTTTCAGCCTCAAAAAGTGACTGATTGTAACGATGAAAAAGCGTCGGGATTGATAATGAACCATCATTACTGCGGCGCTGATGATGGATTTTTTTATCTTCCAGCCAATGATGCAAAAAGAGATTCATATTTATTATAAAAGGGAAGAATATTTTGTCTCTTTCCACATGAGATTGCTTCTTCTTCAGTTAATTAGATGGATGGGTCGGTCGCTTTGTGCGCTCACAGACTCCATTCAAAGCAAATTAAACCCGTGTCACATAATAGTGAGTCAAAGAAGAACAAAGGGGAGAATGGTAAGAAGCACGATAATAAATGCTTCGAGGCATTTTTCATCCACAGGCGTTGTAACTTTTGTCAATTTATCCACCCACACAACAGCACCACTCAGCTCTGCCCATACTCACTTGTCAAGTCGGCAGAAAATTACATTTATTGTAGAAGAATCTGTTTGAAACTGACTATAAATTCTGCTTTTTTTCTCCCACTCTTTTTATTTCTCACTTCATTCTCCGCCCTCCAGGTTTCTAATGACTTCGACCTTTTTTCACATTCTTCATTCCTCAGATTCAAATGCCACTTTTCTCCTCTTCTCTCTCTGTGGCTCTTAGTTTGGGGGTCATAATCTTTCTCTCCATGAACTAACCTATCCCTCACTCCCCTCACTGGTTCTTCTTCTTTCTTTTTTCTATTTCCTGTTTCCCTCTTCTTCTCTCCTGTCATGTCTGTATCCATGAGGAATCAAGTCCAGCGCCGGCGCTCCCTGGGTCCAGTTTCTCCCAAACGCATCTACAGAAACCTGTCCGTCAGACTGAGGGGCGGAGAGTCATCTGTTTCCAGGGAATTGGACACAACCAAACACTTCAGCAAGTCTGCAGATTCTGTAAGATATTTGGACATCATAAAGTGGAACTGTATCTTTGTAGGCCGACTCGGAAGTTAGCATCTCAAGGGCTCCTTTGGGAAAAAGCCAATGGGATTTTCCCAGCGTGATGACTTTTAATTGTCTCATTTGGACGCTTGTTAGCAACCAACGTTTTTAATAGAAGCATCAGACATTTACCGGGGTAGTTACTGTACTGACATATTTTATGTCGTAGAACAAAACGTAGAAATCTCTTAAGCTTGTTTTAACCACAGACCTTATTTCAGGAATTTAACCAAACACACATTCAAAAAAGCATTGACTTTGAGATAAGGCAACCAGAACTGCTAAAATGCTAAGTTATTTCCAGGTTTTAGGACTCATTCCTGCACTCAATTTGATTAAAATAGTAACTACAGTATAGCAACCGCTGTTTTAATGATACTTAAAAGCTCCAGACATTCACCAGGGGGGTATTTTAGTCACGTATTCTATATCGTAGCACAAAACGTGAACATATCTTCAGCGTGTGTTAATCACAGACCTTTTGACTTCCCGACTGAACCACAAGTGGTAAAATGCTAACTCATTCCCAGGTTTAAGGACTCATTCCTGCACCACAATATCTCAAGGTTGGGTCTGAAATGTCCTCTGGCAGGGTTATAGATTCTTTTTTTATTACAAGATCTTATTTTGACATTACATAACTCTGTTTAGCTATGAATATATTTCACCAGGAGACACTGATTTATGATTTGATTTATGTGTCCTCCTGTCTCCATACAGCAACTCCCTTCCCTCATAAAATAAATCTCTCTCGTTTGATCTCCTCTTTCCTCACCCGCACAATCCTTTCCTCTCCCCTTCTCCCCCATTAGTACAAGACCTTGTGGGAAGCAGTGGAAAATGAGGATACTTTGGCCGTACAAAGCCTGCTGTCCAGAGACCACAACCATGCTGCAGGAGGAGGAGGAGGAGGAGGGGGAGGGGGAGGGGGTCTGTGGGAGAGAGGGGAGAAGAAAGAGAAGGACTGGGAGAGAGAGAGGGAGAGGGGGGTGAACAGGGTGAGCGAACAGGGCCTGGTCCCCCTGGACGTCGCTGCCCTTACCCACAATTCCCCTCTCCTCCATGTGTTGACGAAGGCGGGAGCCCGACATAACCCTACATGTAAGATTTTTAAATGTTATACAGTTGTGCTGGTGGTCAGTGGTGGGATGTTATGAAGAATATTTACTCAGGTATTGTATTAAAGGTGGGGTATGTAATTCACTTCAGAAACACTTTTTGTTATATTCCATGGAATGCTCTTAACATCCCGATAGCAATGAATATATTAAATGCTTTGACAAAAAATACATGAACAAATGTCATCTGTGGAAGCCGTGGTACTGTAAAAAGCACGACCAATCATCTGAGCCGGCCCGGCTAAAGTAACTGGATGGCCTACCTGCCTGTCAGCCTTCCATCTGTGCACAAACTTATCTCGTGCCCTCATTGGTCATGTGCGCGTTCATGTGTGTTGGAGGAGGGGCTCTGTAAGGAAGTGGCAGATTTTTTTCGGCTAAGTATTTTCAAATTCTAGCGCACTCGAGCTTGTTTCTGCATTCTTACCTACCCCACCTTTAAGTATAGATTAGATTAGATCAAATGTACTTTATTTATACAAAATTGGGATTTTTTTTGTCACAGCAGTTTGTTAACATACATTACACTTGAGTCAACAAAATAATCAAAGAAGAAATAATATATACATGTCAACAGTAGAAAATATATAAATCAATAAAATATTTGAAGTATACACTTTTTTGCAGAAATAGCAACATATTAATTAAAGAGGAATGTACAAAATATGAAAAATAGAGATGACACAAATTAAAATGTACAAAGCACAATATAAGTAGTTGCAGTATTTTAGAAAAACAAGGGTAAGATCTAGAAATTAGTTATTTACATATTTTGTCTAACTAAGAGATAGCAGCCAGTTATAACAATAATCTTAAAAGGGACATATTGCATAACAGAGGTGTTACTGATGCCAGTACCTTTGTACTTTTAGTAAAGTAAGATTTTGAATGCAGGACTTGTAACCGAATATTTTTCACAATTTAGCATTGCTACTGTTAGTAAAATATCACTCGTCACCGGCTTGAGTTTCAATATCAGGATAGTCATCACATACAGAGCATTTGGTCCAACTAGTTCCTGAACAGAGTCCTTCAGATGCTGATACACAAGAGAGGGAGTTACACAGTCACAAGATGGAGGAATACCGGTTCAAAGCAGTATTGCTGGGCCGGCTTCTGACCCCTAAGTTCGACCTACGAGGAGCCCAACGTGATGAGCCGCCCATTGGTTGCCCCTCCTTTATCGTCTTTACTCAAATAGGAGCTCCGTTCCGCGCGTCGCCCGCGTCCCGGAGTCCGAGTCGCGAGCGCAGGTTTCTTCTGTTCAGGCGGGAGACCTCGGAGGCAGACGGTCGAATACGTCCTCTCTGTCCTTGAAGGGTTGTGTCCAGCCGGACGAGAGGACAGGTCGAGCACTTGAGAATACTTATGTCGTCCCTTGTGTAGATCCAGTGGCGCAAAATTACACGGACGCACGTGTCCCGCTGTCACCGCAGTCTTAATCTAGGGTATAGGTGGTTTAGTCGGTTTCCAGTCATCAAACTGGGGCCTCGGGACGTCCGTTTGTCCATTCTATGGAATTCCCAAAGGGGATAAGCTATTGACAAAAAGTAGTTATAGAACTCGGATATTATATAGAACTACTTTTTGTCATATTATCCCCTTGGGAATCAGAGATGTACAACTGACGTCCCCGAGCCCCAGTTTGAATGACCTGGAAGACTAACCAACCTATTGACGAGATAAGGAACTCGGACAGCGAGGACACGCGTTCGTGAATTTTTGCGGGACCACTTTGATCTACCAAGGGATGACAGAACAGTACCAGTGATCGACTGGCTTCGTGCTGGAGGACACAACACTTCAGAAGCAGAGGTAGGGACATGTCGACGTCGGCCTCCAGAGCGTCTCGCCTGAACAGGGAGACCTGCATCGGGACTCGGACTCGGGCGGGGCGGAAGGCTATTGAGGTTAAGACGAGAGAGGTGGCAAACTCCCGGGGGGGCGCCGGTCACGGTGCGGTCTCGGAGGTCGACTCTGGGCAGACGCAGCCGTTGTGGGACGTCTCCGCCGCTCGCCTTTGTCCGCTCCGGTCTTCGCTCTCTTTCTTTGTCTAGACTTATAAAAACGTAAATTAATGTTACTGTAGAGTGAAGGTCTGCAAAAATCGATTCATTTTTCATCGCAAACAATGTTAAACCCTTTTTACACGAGAAGTTAAAGTCTCATGTGCACTATTGTTTCCATAGGGTTGACATCGACACTTGTACTGTTCCTACAGAACTAATGGATCTTCACCGCCGTGTGAGTACTGACAAATCCTCATACTATCCGATACAACTAATCGTATAATACCTAGGACGAGATACCTCTGATCTAGTATTACTGGCAGTATCAAATAACGAATGCACCCGAATTCGATTAGAC